GCCGTGGAAGGAGGATAGAGCCCTAAGAGAGATGAGCAGCCCGTGAGGGAAACGTGAAGCACAGCCAGGAAGGCTGGAAGAAAAGCCAGGGACTGCAGAGTCGCAGCCACCGTGGGGGTTTCCTAGGTGAAGCGAGCAGTTCCGGTGTGGTGTCCGAGGCAGCAGAGATGAGAAGGAGAGATGAAAACAGAAGCGCTTTCATTGGACTTGGCCATTAGCAGGTTTTAGGAAAATGGAGGACTCAAAAGCCAGACTGCAAAGGACCACGAAGGGAAAGCAAAACGTGAAATCCACTAGAAAAGAGATCATGACTTTTTAAAATAAGGAAATAATTACTAACCTTCATCAAGCGCCTGCTCACCTACCTGAGTGTCTCACATTCATGATCCCATGTCTTAATCTACACATCAACCCGATGAGACGTTACTATGGTTTGTCCTTGTCACCGATGAGGAAACTGAGGCTCAGCAGATAAAGGAGCTTTCCCAGCATTACACTTTCCAGGTAGCGGCAGCACCAGGGTTCAGTCCCAGGCTGTCTGGCTGCAGAGCCCTTGTATTAAGCCATCAGGCGCCTTGGCTTCCACCCGATACCTTCACACACTTTTCACTGGTCCCCAGCTGGGTCTTCCTAGGCTCAGACACCAGACTTTTAGTAGCCCACAGGTAGGAGTGTGACTCACTCCTCTGCCTCCTTCTAGGGGCTTGGAGGGTCACTTAGTGTTTCTATTGTAGAAGTGAATCTAGCTTATTTGTACAAACTTCCACAGAAAAATCCTTCCTGCCCTATAGACATCCTCATGAGGCAAGGTCAGAAGCTGTGGCTTCTTGTCCCAGACTTCTACTGAGCAGGAAGCATGGTGGCTTTTACTGGTCTCCCTGGAGATCCCTCTGCAACCTCACGAGGCAGTCGTATTCATGCCCTGGAACCGCTGAGCTTAAAGAATGTGTAGAGCACAAGGACTGCTCAGGACCTTGGCACCTGGGACCAGGCTACCCGCGACCTGGGCTCACACAGCATTTCTGTGAGGTACGCTGCCACCTGCACAACCTGACTGGTCCTCCAATGCTCCAGTCACACAGATGACACCTTCCCACTGTGGAGGGCCACCAGCAGATGGTCCTTCTAGGACCAACCAGGACCACTCTGACCCCAACCTCTGGTCTTAGCCACAACCCCACTTCTGCCAGGCTGAGGTGGCAAATGGTTGTTCTGCCTGGCCAGGCTCCTACCAGGAGTGAGAGTGGGATGGAGAAAAAGGAGACAATCTCTTGTGTTCTTCTCAATTGCTTGGTGTGAGACCTTTGCCGTCAATCTCTATAATATTGAGAGTTAAGGGCACAGGTGCTGACATAAGCTACCTGGGTTCAAATCTGGCTCCCTTACTTACAAACTGGGGGACTTGGATGATTTTTTTTTACCTCTTGGTAGCTAAATTTCCTTATCTGTACAAGTAGGATAATACTAATAAAAGCATACCAACTGCTTAGCACACTGCCTTAACTATTACTCTTGTGCGGTACTTAAAAGATGCGATCAATCTGGTTTTGAATCCCAGCTCTACTACCTATTAGCTGTGCAGCCTTGGGTGAACTATAAACTTCTCTGTGTCTCAATTTCCTCATCTATCAATAAGGCTGATGATCATAATTGTATCTACCTAATAAGTTATTATGAGGATTAAATGAGTTAGTGCTCCTCAGTCACTTAGAAAAGTACCTGGGACAGAGTAAGCACTGTGTAAATCTTAGATATTATTATTATTATTTAATAAATAAACATTAGCTGTTATTATAAATATACATTGTATGGTTTTGACATAAACAAGATCATATTGTCAATATTGTTCTGCAACTTCTGATATTGCTAACAATGTGTCTTGCGTTTCTTAGAGGTATTTTCAGATCAACACTAAGGAGGCCCCCTGCTCTTTTGAACCACTGCACCCCTGGCTCACTGCCCTGAACTGTAAGAAGGAAGTACCCCGCTTATTTAACTGTCCCCCCTGTTAGTGAGCACGTAGGTTGTTCCTAAGTTTTCGCTTGTATAAACCATGTTGCAAGGTCATCCTTGCTCTCTGATTACTCATGTGAGTGTTTCTCCGGGATAGGTAACTACAGGGGCATGGGTGGGTTGCAAGGTACTTGCATTTTACTCTTTGATGGATGCTGCCAAGTGGCTCCCTAAAGAGGCTCAGCCAATTCACATTGCCACCAATTGTGCATGAGACTACTCATTCCCTCCCCCTTTCCCAACATGAGATATTTTATCCATATTTATAACTTTCTATCAGTCTTAAGGGGACATAGGCTTATTTCACTGTGTATTTCCCTCTTTCTCGTGAGGGTGAGCATCTTTTCATATGTTTCTAGCCATTTGTGTTTCTCTTCTGTGAGCTGCCTATTTATAGCTTTGGTCTGATTTTCTGTTGGGTTATTTGTCTTTTTCTTATTGATTTTTAAGGCTTGATGATTGATTGGATGTGGGGAATATGGATGTCAAAAGAATTAAAATTCACACTTGGTCTACAGGCTTGGACAAATGTGAAGACCACAGGGCGGTTCATTGGGAGCACCGAGGGGACAACACCCAGGTGGGGCTATTGAGTACAGGTTGGACAGAGGTTGGGGCTCCAGCCTCTGGGCTGCTGCCGTATCCCCCTGCCCTCACACACATGGAGGCTTGGCTCTAAGCGGCATCCTGGCCCTGCAGGACTCCAGGCCAGTAGCATTAGTGACCCTAATTCACAAATAGCCAATAGCTATTGAGTGCCCACCATGGGCCAGATACCATCCTAGGCAGTGGGAACACAACAGTGAACAAGCAGATAAGAACCTGCTCTTGGTGAGTTTATATTAGAAAGGAGACACAGTAAACATAAATAAACAAGATAATGTCAGACCATGAGAAGCGCTGTGCAGGCAATAAAACAGCAACAATAGACAGTACAGAAGGGGGCGTGCTTTTGGTTAGGTGGTCCGAGAAAGAGTTTTGGAGGAGGTAACATTTGATTCTAGATCTACATGATGAAAAGGAGCTCTGCCAAGACCTGGGAGAAGAGCATTCCGACAGAGATAATAGCAGGATTCGAGGCCTGAGCCAGGCAGAGGCCAGATGTTACGGGAGGGGGAAGACCAGCATGGTTGGAGGGCAACAGATATGAGGGTCGGTGGGGAGAGGTGGCAAGAGAAGAAGCTGGAGAAACAGCAAAGGGCCAGATCGGCAAAGGCCCTTGAAGCCAAGACAAAGAGTTTGAAGATTATTTTCTGGGAAAAGGGAAACTCTTAGACGACTCTAAGGTTGCTAATTCGGGATGGTCATGATATGATTCATGCTTTAGAAAGCCACTGTGTAGAGAATGGATTATAGGGAAGCAAGAGGAGAAGAAAGAAGACCAGTTCGAAGGCTACTGAGGAAGTCCAGTGGGATATGGTGGTAGTTTGGATGTGTAGTAACAATGGAGATGACGATAAATGGAAAATACAGGGCTATAGTTTGGAATGAGCCTACAGAGCCTGCCAATGGACAGATGTCAGGAATAAGGGAAAGAAAGGGGGGTCAGAACTGACTCCTTGTTGTCTGGTCTGAGAAATCGGATGCATGATCCATGATCTATTTACTTAGATGGGGCGGGGGAGGGTAGGTACTACTGATGTGGGCAAGAGCAAGAAGAAAATCAAGTGTTTTATTTTGGATATGTTAAGTGCAAGGTGCTCATTTGACATTCTAGAGGCACTGTCAAGTAGACGATTGGAAAAGATGGGTTCAGGGAAGAGTCAGAGCTAAAAGTATAAATCTGAAGTCTTCTGCAGACAAATGGCACGGGGCATATTTATTGCTTTGTGGCTTGAAATCCAACCAACCACTTCCCCAAAAAGCACCCAGATCTCCCATTTAATAGAATTCTCCTGTAGGCGTGGGGGGAGCCTAATTCCCTGTCCACTGCAGCTCTGACCAGACAGCTGGGCAAGGGGGTCACCAAAGGCCTTTGCAGCTTCTCCCCCCACTTCCTGAAGCAGGCATTATAATTTAAGTTGGGCCCATCAGACCCTCATTCATGATGTTTTGACACTCCATCAAGTGCCTCAAAGAAGGAAGGCAAGTTCAAAGGTCAGAGTCATGTTGGTGGCCAGCCTGTGTGAGGATGAGACTCTCCCTGAGGCCTGACCTTTACTGCAGGTCCTGCTGCCAAGCCCCCACCTCTTCTCCAGGCCTGGTTTCCCAGCTCCCTTCTAGTTTGGCAGCACCCCAGGAGACCTTCATTAGATTTACTTTCTGCTTACAGCAGCCAGAGTTCCTTTTTGTTGCTTATAATCAGGAACCCTGACTAATATATATAATATTTAAAGTCATGTGGCTAGATAAGACCACCCAGGGTAGCAGTATAGAGAAAGAACAGAGGAGAGGATGAGTTCTCTTACAAGTGAGCTGTCTTTGGAACAAAGACTTAGAGTCTGCTACAGACTAAATTACATCCCCACAAAATTCATGTTGAAACCCTCCCCCACACCACATCATCCCCAAAAAATGATATTTAGAGATGAGGCCTTTGGGAGGTAATTCAATTTAAATGATGTCATGAGGGTGAGGCCCTCATGATGAGATTAGTGCCTTTATAAGAAGAGGCACTTAGAGAAGTTGCTC